AAATCGATCCCTTTGTACAGGCAGTACAAGTCGATACTGGCTTTGATGTTGGAGGACAGGGTGCGCTTGGCTGCCTCGCAGGCCCTCCTGAGCCTCCACACGGCCTTTCTGTCCTTGCTGATGTTCTCCTGATGTTTCTTTAGGAATTCATCTATGAAGAAGCTCACCAGGCAGTTGTCAAAATCATCCCCTCCCAGATGGGTGTCCCCAGAGGTGGCCTTCACCTCGAGGATGCCCCCGTCAATGGTGAGGACGGAGACATTGAAGGTTCCTCCACCCAGGTCAAAGATAAGCACATTGTGTTCTCCATTGCTAGGGTTGTCTAGGCTGTAGGCGAGGGCGGCGGCTGTAGTCTCACTGAGGATCCTCAGCACATTGAGGCCGGCGATCGCCCCAGCATCTTTGGTGGCCTGGCGCTGGGAGTCATTGAAGTGGGCTGGTACAGTAACAATGGCATGGGTGATGGGATGGCCCAGGTAGTCCTCAGCCATCTCCTTCAAGTTACCCAGCACCATAGCAGAAATCTCCTCTGGGTAGAAAACCTTCTCCTTTCCCTTGTATGACACCTGCACCTGGGGCTTCCCTTCAGCTTTCACTATCTGGAAGGGCCAGAACTCCGCATCTGCCTGCACAACAGGGTCCTCAGATGTTCGGCCAATCAAGCGCTTGGCACTGAATATGATGTTAGGAGAGTTGAGGGCTGCCTGGTTCTTTGCCTCATCCCCTATCAACCTCCCTGTCTCAGTGAAGGCAACACAGCTGGGTGTGGTGCGGATGCCCTGGTTGTTGCCAATTATTTCCACCTTGCCGTCTCGGAAGAGGCCTACGCAGGATTTAGTGGTGCCCAAGTCAATACCAATTGCTGGGTGTTTCAGTGCAGGCTTGGGTGAATTCTTCTCCATGACGTTACACTCTGCCCAAGAGGGATTCTCTTCATAGGCTGGTAACCTCTCATAAAATTCCCCTCAGCAGAGCTGGTGGTAAGCCCTTCTTTGATTCAGGTTTCCCTCAACAGGGCGAGTAACCTCAGGGCGAGTGCATCAGGTTCTCCTCAGCAGGGCTGGTGGTACCCCATTCCCTGGGTCCCTTCCCACTCAGCTGTGCTGGGAGTGGCAGCTCTTCCTCCTGCTGCCTCTCTTGATCAATGCAGTCTGCAGCCCCTGCATACGCCTTGATGACCTCACAACAGACATGTCACAATACAGTTGAAGGCCTTCAGCCAATAACAGCAGAAACTATGTCCACTTTACCTACCATGGAGTGTTCTCTTGATTATCTTAACAACCATCCCATCACGAGGGTTGGCATATGATCATGATGAGGTGGGAAAGTGGGTTGCTCAAGTCCCTAAATCCTAACTCAATTCCTTAACAAGACCAGCTTTCCAGAAATAAATCCAGACTAGCCCCCAGATTGAAACGTGTAGATCAAAGCATCATAAGCAAGTAGCTCAGCACTTTCTGAAAACCAGGCCCCTTTAAGGTTCCTCAAGTTGTGCACCTCACTAGTCACTTTTGAAAGACTTGATCTAGGGTTTTAATACTCATACTCTTGAGAGAAATGCCATGGGATCTTTTCAACCAGACACATTCCAGTCTGGAGGTCAGAGTATTAGGATGATGGAGTTTGCTAACGTGTCTAGCCCAAGCCAGCTAACTCCATTCTTTCTCCCTAGATTTCAACTGGATTGGATTTTCTCCTTGCACTAAACGGTTGCACACCATGCCATGCCCCACCCCAGAGGCAGCTGCACTTTTGCTGGGTGAGTAATCTTTGTGCAGCTTTGCTGTGTGATTAACAGCTACCACACTTCAGCCCAGAGGTGGCTGCATTTCAGCACTGAATGATGATCTCTGGGAAACATTTTTTATGACTTGCAAAAAGCAAGTTAATTATTCACAAAGCACTGGACACAAGGAGAGTCAGAAACTGGAAATATCTGTTCATAAAACTTACAGAAGCAACTAACGGGCTATTGAAAAATGCTACAATGCGAAAGGGAACAGAAGCTGACTCATGCTTTCTTTGGCAGCTTCTGGTACTCCCCAAACCTCCAAACAATTTACTCTTCAAGCTGTTGGTCATAAACTTCCAAAAACAGACTCTATGGAATGGGACAGAGGGTTATTACAGCACCAGTTCCAATCTGGCCCCAGTTTAGGAAGGCTGGCTGGCTTGTGGGTGGTTGAGGGAAATGAATTACAGAGCCTTTCACTTTTAGGTTGATATTGGTTCCAATCCAGTTTCAGGTGAGCTGGGGGGGAGCTCCACCATAACAACATTTTTCATACGTCATGTGAGCCATCCACTCAACAATTTTGGCTCCGATAAGGACCAAACGGTCCTTTCATCCAACAGCCAAGCCATCCACTGTTGCACGCTGGCCACCCTGGGGAGATCTGAAACAAGCCTACCAGGATTTGCAAGATAATAAACAAGCCTGAATATTCTACTTGTGGAGTTGCACTGGGAGACCTGTGAAGCAAAGGCACTTTTGAATGCTTCTTATTGAATTTCCTGCAGCAACAGCAGCATGGCACCTTTGTGAACACTGCCATTCAGCTGATCAAACATTTTTCTTTAGTGATTATAGCCGCTGTGACAAAGAGTACGGCAAAGAACAGGACACCCGTTTCCTCAGCCAGGTCATGAGGTTTGGCGGACTTCATTCTGTATTGCCATGCAGCTTTTCTAGTCAAGTCCTTTATTCCTTGCATCAAGCCAGTTTTAGTCTTTACATTTTTGCAGGTCGTGCCATGTTCCAGCAAGCTGGACAGTCATGTTCCCCTACATCTACATGAGCCCCTGCTCCCTATGGAGAGTCACTGTGTTTATCAGTGAGGGGTTGGAAAAATATCATTGTCTCCGGCTTCCTCTGCCAGTCTTTTAAGAGATCTCTGCTCTGCCTCTTGTTTTAGCCATGATAGTAACTTTTCCCAGTCGAGAATCTCCAGTCAAGCTTTATCATTCTCTGTAAAGCGACAAGTTTCATTATTGCTCCTCCACACTGTGTAATTATCTGGTAGTTAAACTAGTCATTGAGATAGCTAAATACAACAGGACCTTCCTAATCTGCACACCTACTTCCCACAGAGGGTATGTCTACACTACCCACCTTAGAGCTCTCCCGGCCATTAAAAAAACCCAGCCCAAACAAGCGGTGGTAGCTTTACCTGAATGACAAAAGTTTTAGTGCTGAAAGTGGCAGTGTAGACACAGCCTAAATCACAACGGTTTCTCCCCACCCCTTCATAGGAAAGATTCAAGACCAGAGCATTGCAGTGAGGCCCTCAAATTTCATTTTCACTACGTCCATAAAATATGCTAAAGAACATTTACTAGTATTTTATAAAGTGTAGTGAAACCTCAATTCTCCAAAAGTTTCAGGTATCCCTCACTGGAGTGGAGAGCAGTAGGAAATTATGCAACTATGTGCAAACTTGAAATATGGAACCCAAGAATCAGACAAAAGTATTGTGCATTCTTTGTCAAGATGATCATAAGTCATTTTTTTTACAGCTGTTACTCATAATACTTTAGATCCTCAGAAAGAATTTTTAAAACCCAACCTACACGGCACTTTGGTTTTTACATTTCTGCCAGGGAGGGCAATGATACTCAAATAAACCAGTTTCACTTTCAGATTATTAAGTGATGCAAAATTTTAGGTTTCAAACACTACAGGGGAACATTTATTCATTTAAAAACTGCTTTCTCTGAAGTCTTAAAATTAGAAAAATTTCTAATGGGTCTTTCAGTTTTATAAAAGCCTTCTTTTGAAAAAAATATATTTTGGGCCAAATTTAAATTCACAACACCTGATCTACATCCATCAAGATGGCATATTCTTGCTGGTTAATTTTTATTATTAAATTAAAAGCATTTACACATTGTAATGATTTGTCCTTGTACTACTTTAGTAATTAGAATTTCTAAGGCCAGATTTAATAATTTTATTAAGATGTTAAAATTTAAAAAAATGGTACAGAGTTTAAGCGTAGAAGTTTCTGATTATCAGGGAATAACGTACAGATTATCAAGGGGTGTGAAGTTCGGTTAGGATCGGGTGGTGTAAGGAATACATAATCTGCAATATCCCCGATTGGGGGTCAAAGTACAGACATTGAGATATGAGGGTATGTTGTTCATATAATGGCTATGTTCAGGTGTGGAGTACGAGTGGATACGATGATAAGGATGGATTTACCCTCATTTGGTGAGATGTAATGTTCAGTGAGTTTATGGTTCCAGTTCATATGGTCCAATATGTCCTGATTCCCCAGCAATTGTTGAAGCTACACCCTGTGCAAACTTTTAGTGCAGACAAAGAAAGTTGCAATTGGCAACGCTGGGCCTTCTTACCCAGACTTCACACCAGTGGCAAACTGCAGTTTGCTTTGTTTCAGGCTGGCAGATGTGCAGCTACTTTGGCAGCTAGCCATCAATTGCTGGAATTCCCATCACAAAGAAAGCCCAAGTCTCAGGGGTTTTCACATGCAGAATCCTGCCTCCCTTTCTCCCTTCTCTTTTTCTCAGACCCACTTTCCTTCTGCCTTTGATGTATCTACACCCTTCAACTTCCTCTCCTCTGCCCCCAGGTCTCCGTCCACACTGCCTCTCACACAGCTCTCCCCATTGCGTCTGCCCTCCCCCACCTCCAGTGGTACTGCCTGCATTATGGTAGCACTTCAAACCCCACCTTGTGCGTCTCCTCCCCCGCATTTACCCCCAACTCCCCCTCCCCCTATCTGTTCCCCCCTTCCTCCTCCTCTCCCCCATCTGACCACCCCCCTTCCTTCCCCCCATCTGACCTCCCCCACATCTACCCCCTCCTTCTCCCATCTGCTCCCTTCTCCCTGACCCATCTGCCCTCCCCCTCTCCTCCTCCCCCCACATCTGGCCTCCTCCTCCCCTTACATCTACCCTCTCCCCACGTCTGGCCCCTCCCCCTCCAGAAGCCGGCAGACCCAGCCAGGCAGCCGTCCTTGATTCTAACTGACCTCCCCCACTTCCGTTCCGGGTCCTTCCGGCGCGCGCGGGGGCTTCTGGGACATTTCCGCCTCTGCGACGCCTCCTCCCCTCTCGTGAGCGTCCGGATGCTGGAGGGAGCCCCCGGGACGCGCCTGGGGTGACGTCACCGCGCCGTCCACACCCCGGATGGGAGAACTCCCCGGTGACGTAAACGCTCCCGCTCTCCCCAACCCGAAGGACCTCGACGTGCCCCGCCCTCTCACACAGGAGTGGCACTCCGGGAAACCAATGGGCGCGTGAGACGGCTTCGGGCTGAGCGCCGTGCCCGAGGAGCGACGTTAGCGAGAGCCAATGGTGGTGACGGGTGTGGCAGCCCCGCCTCGCGGCTGCCCGACCGCCCGTCCCAGGTTAGGCTGCGCCTGTCAGTGGGGGCGGCGGGATGGCGGCGCTTTACGCTTGTACCAAGTGCCACCAGCGCTTCTCCTTCGAGGCGCTGAGCCAGGGGCAGCAGCTGTGCAAGGTCCGGGGGGATGGGGGACTTGGGGGTCCATGGGAGGGGAGGGGGGATTGGGGGAGTCCTGGGAAGGGATGGGGGCATGAGGAGGGGATGGGGGCGGGGGAGGAGTGGGGGGGGAATGGGGGATAGGGGGAGCCCTGGGAAGGGCTGGGGGAGGGGATTGGGGGAGCCCTGGGAAGGGCTGGGGGAGCCCTGGGAAGGGCTGGGGGCAGGGGATTGGTGGAGCCCTGGGAAGGGCTGGGGGAGGGGATTGGGGGAGCCCTGGGAAGGAATGGGGGCAGGGGGAGGAGTGGGGGAGGGGATGGGGTCACGGGGAGGGGATGAGGCCCTGAGAGGAGTGGGGAAAAGGATGGGAGCCCCTGGGGGGAGGAGATAAGGGATTGGGGGAGCCCTGGGAAGGGATGGGAGGAGTGAAGGAGGGGATGTGGCCCTGGAAGGGATGGTGCCCCCTGGGAGGAGTGGGGGGGGGGGGAATGGGGGCTCTGGAAGGAGTGATTGCCATGAAGAATACTTCTGCTTTGTCCAGGGTGTTCTGTTGTTGTGTTTGGGGGGGACTGTTGAGTCTTTGGGGAACGTGTGTGGTAGAAGCACTAACTCTTCTTTTTGCTGTAGGAGTGTCGAATCGCGCATCCCATTGTCAAGTGCACGTACTGCAGGACCGAGTTCCAACAGGAAAGGTAAATTTCTGCTAAGCTTAAACACTGGACAATAAAAAGTAGTTGGCATCTGCTTCTTTAATACACATCCAAAATAGTCCCACTTCAGCCTCTTGATTCTCTCATGGTCCCTTTTTCTATGTGTGAATTTAGCATTTATTGACAGCCCTGGAAACTGAAATTTTCCATAGACTATGTACAGCAGAAGCAGTACCGGTACAAGTTTCACACACACTGGCCCACTAAAGTATCTTAACCCTGATCTTTAGGTGTCCCCCGTAAAGACTAAGGAGACAGTTTGGTGGCTTTGGGAGTTCTGCTGAGAAAAGCGAACCTGGTATGTTAGTGCCAGTTGGGGCAGGGTTTGTAATGTGGGAACAAGACTGAGAGCTACCAAACTAATTTCACATAAGCCAATGAGCAACCATCTGTTGGTAATAGCTTTGGGTAACTAGTGGGCTATGCTGTTTATGAACTGGCAACCTAAAGGTGAAAGGCTTCATATCCTGTTACCAAAGCCCTGAGCCATCCTTTTTCTTCGCTCCTGTTTTCTGTTGCAAAATGTTCCTGATACTAAACTCCTGTCCTCCTCTCCTTCCACCGGTGATTCTTTGTGTCCGTAACCCATATGCCATTTGGTTACAGCAGCCCATTCCTTGAAACCCTCATCATGCCCCTTGTGTTGCGCCTTCTGTCATATGTCGTCTGAGTGCTTGTAGGGGGGCCAGTGTTGTGCCCCTTGATGAGGCTCTAATCATAGTCCCAATCTCTGTCAGGCAGACGCATTCTGTGCTCTTGATTTTGCAGCATGATGTGTGGCATTTCTTCCTGGGCGGTGCTCAGCTGTATCTTTCAGTGAAGTGCCTGGGTGCTCCTGGAAGCTGTTCTCCTTCTGTGTTTTGGCATGCAAAAATGATTCTTATTCTCTATGCTGTAGCGTAAATACCTGTCTTGTCCTTCTGCATTTGCAGTAGTAAACATGGTTTTCTGCTTGGTTTTAATTTCATTTTTGTGAATATATGAAGAAGAGGGACCAATGATCCCAGCAGCCACTGAGCATATTTCATGCAGGCAGTGTGCAAGGTAGTTCCCTGTTTTCCATCCTGCGGATTGGGGTCAATGAACCTCAGTCCTGATCTGCATCAACCCTGCTATTTTAGTGCTTGCCCTCTCCGGTACTGAGATTATCACTCATGCCGAGTCATGTAGTTTGATGCTGGTTAAATGTCTGCTGCAGATTAGCTGGTGACCAACTAACTCATTTTGTTGGTGACCATAATTCCAATTGAGCAAATATGTGCGTAAATTAAAGGCTGAGGTCTTAATTAAATTAAAGGGGCTGCCTTATGAAAATGCCGTCTTTCAATAATACCTCACTGTGGTAGATTATCATCACCAGGCAGGGGTAGCAAATACATTTTATATAAAAGCCACTAGTGAACATGAATACAAAAATCCTGCCAGGAGAGTTGTATGGTTAGGGGAAATTTAGCGCTCAAGCACAGAGGGCTTAATCTGTACCCAGATATTGCTGACACAGTTATACTTCATTCTTGCTTTTTCTTAATGTTTTGTTTTAATAGCAAAACCAACACAATATGCAAGAAATGTGCTCAGAATGTGAAACTCTATGGAACGGTAAGTGCTGGGGACTATCCCGTCCACCCTCATAATTATAATGCTATTTCCATTGTCTTTCATCTGAAAACGTGTAACAGCCTGTCTGTGTAGGGGTTACCTCACACACTACTGAAATGCAGTGCCCTTTTGGGTGAAACATAAGACGCTTTTTTGTGGTGAATGGCAATACTTCACATGAGTTTAGGACAGCAAGTGACCGATCCCATATCCAGTTGAAACTAAATGGGGGATTTAGGGAAATCAGAATGTGATAACCTAAATTGAAATTTGACCAGGAAACTGGAATAAACATTTCTTCCCTTTAGGATGAGGTTTGAAGCTTAGGTCCTGACCACTTGTCATTAAAGATCCCATGGCACCTTATGCAGAAGTCGGTATAAGTTCAAGTATCCTGGCCAATCAGTAATTTGGATTGGTAGTTTGGATGCCTGATCCCTGGTTTATCTAGCTCGGTGGTCTCCAAACTTTTTGGATCGTGCACCCCCAGGGCCAGCTCTAGGGATGCAAAAAAAGAAGAGCTGCCGCCGGCGTGCTGCCGAAAACGGAGCAGGGAGAGCCGAGCTGCCGCCGGCGTGCCGCCAAAGAATCAAAGGTCCAGGAGCGCTCCTCCTGCCGTGCACCCCCAGGGATGGTCTTGCGCACCCCCCACTTTGGAGACCACTGATCTAGATACATGCACAATTCTTGAGTCCCTATGAAGATGGGACTGTTTGAGTGATAGAAAAACGCACATGTGCTACGTATTTACAAAGCATTGCTAACCCGTACTGTATCTGTCCTTCTTAAAGCCCAAACCATGCCAGTACTGCAACATAATAGCAGCATTTATTGGCAACAAGTGCCAGCGGTGTACGAACTCAGAGAAGAAGTATGGGCCACCTCTCTCCTGTGAACAGTGCAAGCAACAGTGTGCATTCGACAGGAAGGATGATAGAAAGAAGGTGAGTTTCTATGTAAAATGGGGCTGGAAAGGTGAAAGAACTAACCACAGTAATAGCCTATTCATCTTCTGCACAGAGTCACAGGATTTCCGCAACAGTAACGTGTCGGCTATAAAGTATTTTCTGGCCAGCTCAAGAATTTACATTTGCAATGAGAGATGTTAAAACACTAAGTTCATTGGATTGCTTTATATTTTCAGCACCATAGTTCCTTGGTCAGGTCTTTTTCTGAACTGGACTTAGTGTAGGTGCACACACAAGTGAGAAGGGACCCCACTCCAAAATGGGTGGTAGAGATAAAGGGAACTTCACATACTGTGAATTGTCCCAAAGGTAAGCATATGCATAAGTCTTTTAACGTGGGCCCCAGGCCTACAGTTTTGGACGCTGTATAAGTAGTTCCCACCATCTGGACAGAGCCCCTTAGAACAGTAGTTTTCAATCTTTGGTCCATGGACCTGTTGATGTCGGCCGGTCTATGTCTAATCCTCAAGGTTGTTGAGGTTGTTGTTACAATAGGACAGTGGTTCTTAACCTGTCGGGGTCCGCAGACTATGCCTAAGATTTCCAAAGGGATCCGCACCTCCATTCAAAAACGTTTAGGGGTCCACAAATGAAAAAAGGTTGAAAACCACTGAAACAGAGTATTAGTGTTCGGGTTCCTAAAGCACGTGCCTTCGAGTCCAGGTGTTGACCTTTGTGTTTATAAAAATCCGAATTGCACAGGATGTGATTTCTTGCTCTAAAATGTCATGGGGAACATGTGATATAAACAATCCAAGAAGTGTCAGCTCAGAACGGATGGTAGCTGTGCCAAGTTTTTATCACTGTGACTTGCTGGCTGCATCGCACTGGCAGTGTTGAATGCAGTCAACACCTTTTCTAACCACATCAGGGACCCCTTGAGTCACTGCATGTGTGTTGTTTGTGACTGCATACCTTGTGTCTGTAAATCCTGAGCATGGTTGATCTGAAGTTGCCATCAGGCTACTTGTCTACTCTGTGCTTGGGATGTGGGGAGGAAGCGAGAGAAAATCCTCTGACTCCCAACTTGCCTTTCAGGTGGATGGGAAGCTGCTGTGCTGGCTGTGTACGTTGTCCTACAAACGGGTCCTACAGAAGACCAAAGAGCAACGCAAACATCTAAGCAGCTCTTCACGGACGAGCCTGCAAGAGAAGGAGCAGTTCAGCAGGCTCAGCAGTGGCAGCCATTACAACAGGTAACTTGCATGTAAATGCTGCAAATATGCTCCGTTGGAGCACTTTCCTCCTGCAGGAGGGCTGACTGCTTCAAACTCATCAGACCCACTTCCAACAAAAGTGGGAGAAGTGCCTTGGACCTCACTACTGCGTAACTGGGGTGACTTTTAACATCGTTATGCATCTTTTTGCATAAAGCCTGGATAATTCTGACTTAATGAATATGCAAATCCAGTAGTTCTAACCTAAACTCCTAATAGTGTCACAACACTACTCAGTGAGATCTGTTTTACAGAATGCTTACTGACACGCTGTTTTCTCAAATAATTAAAGCTGCATTTGTCAAATTAATGACAGAAGTGCATTAATTCATTCAGTAGCCTTGCTCTTCCAGGTGGCTGAAACTGGGATATAAAAAAGTGAAATGACTTGTCCCAGATAACACAGCAAGTCAGTTGGCAGAGCTAGGACTCCTGACTCGACCACTAGACATGTTTCCCCAGCATTCAAAATTGACTGACTCAGATCAAACACTGCAGCTGAGATCACCTAGGAGACTCTTGGTGATGATCCCTAGTTTGAACATCTGGGGGCTACTGCTCAGGTATTCTCAGTGGGGACTTAGGATGAGCTGATCCTTTTCTGTGCATTGTGGAGTGTATTACAGTTCTTGTTGACACTGGGTCAACTTAGATTTATCTTTAAATATATGGTTTTGGACATAGAATGTTCATGTGCCCAGAAGTTTGATTGGCACATTGTATAAAATAAACTCTAGTTTCTCTTTAAGGAATTATCTTTTATTTGGCCATCACTATGCTTGGAGCTCTCTTCTCTCTAAGCTTGTTGTGAGTGTGCTTTAGTGGGAGATGGTATTTATCTGTGCCTCTTTCTTGTTTCCGGACAGTCTCTGATTCACAGGCCTTTTAGGTTCTGACATGTATCTTCATTGTTTTTCCTTCATAGCCAGAAAACCTTATCCACCTCCTCTATTCAGAATGAAATTCCAAAGAAGAAACCCAAGTTTGAGGCCATATCAGCCAATGGTGACAGGTGAGCCAGTTGGTTGGGAAAGATGCCAGTGGGTGGTCTCATTTAAGTTTGTGTAAGAGAGAATTCAGTGCAATTAGCAGGATGCTTATATGACAGAATGGGGCTCTCAAACATTGGTACTGCAAGGGCTGCATTAGCAGCTTTCTGGGACCCCACAGGCCAAGCCTACCTAGCACCTAAATGTACACTTGAAAATCAAAAGATGCCCAATGTTTGTACCTACTAGAAACTGCTTGTTGGTTGAGTTCACCAGCAGTTACAACCTGCAGCCTGGATCAGCTTTATCCTCACCCTGCAATGACAGGGGAAGGGTGGCCACTGGCTGCGTGATGGGCTCTGGTCTGCAGTTTGGGCTAGAACGTTATCTGTTAGACTGAAAGCTAGGCTGCAGTCAGAATAAAGAATAGAATGCAGGGAGACAATCATTAGATGAGAGAATATAGAGAGAAGTCTTATCCCCCCCTCTCCTGTGGGAGGAAAAGTGATAAACAGCTTCCTCTGAACACAGTGGACCTGATTCTGCCACTGCTATATGCATGCAGTTCCCATTGACATCAGAACTTGCATGCAGCAGAACGGACCTCACTAGCTATATAAGGAGAGAGTGAGATGGATATTTTTTTTTTTTTACACTCTTGTACATGCATATTTTCATTCCTCCCTTTCCTCTCTGATTCTCAGCGTTCCTTCCTCTCCCGAGATGCTTTGCCCCCCTACCCAGAGTGCCCCGTCCGTGTTGGTGCAGTGGGCTGCTTCCCAACAGAGTCCCGGTGCCCATCATTATCCTGTTTCTCAAGGCACTGACGTCCTGAAGTGAGATCACCTATCGTTTTCTCCCACCCCCGGTTGCCCTCCTGCCCTGGAAATTGTCTCACATATGGAAAGTGTCCCCATCGATGGCTCTTCTTCCAAACTGCATTGAATTGGGAATATAGAGCACAGCGTAGGCTCATTAGTGCCAGAGAGTCTTATTAAGTCTGTTGAAGTCACTGGTAAAGTGCTCACCGTCCATCTCAATTGTTCATCATTTAACTCCAAATCACCTCTGTCCTAAGGACACCTGTTAGCCCATTGTCTTTGGCTATTGAAGTAAGAAATGCCAAAGCATGAAACTGAGTTTAAAGAATTCTTTAAGGTGTAGCGGTTGCACAATTCTTTAAATGGAATTTAATGCTGATTGGCAGGAGACTGAACACCACCTCCCCCTGGCCAGAGCAGGTACCGCACAAGCAGTAGTGCTGCAAGCTGCCCTCTACCAGTGCACCTCAACTTTGACTTTTAGGGTGCGCTATTCCATCTGTGGCACCTCTGCTGAGGCTGCCAGCCGTGTTGTAGGTCAGTGCCACTTGTGACGGTAGAACTTCTTAAATATCTGCTCGCTAGGAACGGGAGCGAGCTCCTTTAATTCATTTCACATAAACTACCGAGTAGCCATTATCCGGTAACCAACCTTGCTCACACGTTATCTGGAAGCAAAAAGGCTCCGTGCCCTAATACGAATTCCAAGTCATCCATTCAAAAAAAAAACTTAGCAAATGATAAATAAATTAGATTACTTCATTTCAGTTTACTCTTGTACCATATCTTGTTCTCACTTGAAAGCCCTGGTAGGCTGTGATCCTCTCCACAAACTTACTCTAGTCTTAGGGAAATCCCATTAATAAGTTATACATAATTATAGCTGCTGCTCCTAAGTTCCAACAGGGGGCTGTGTGTTGTCCAAGACATAAATTGCAGCCATTTTAAATCTATGTGACTCTGTTGCTGTGGGGCAACAGTCACCCTTAGTGGCTAGTGAAGTTTAATCCTGGGGCTGTATTTCCTTGTAGATGTTCAAAACAATAGTTAAATTCTATGATGCAGCTGCCCCTATCTTTAACTTAGAGGTGTGGCCCACAAAGGCTGCTTCTACATGGGCGATCCCTCTGTGTTACAGCTGAGGGCAGCTGCATCTTTATGCAGAGTAGGTGCTAGCCTTGGGCTCTAGGCAAATTGCCGTGTTCTTGGGCTCAGTGACTTGGTAGCAACCCCTTCGTGGTCCAGCTTATCTCTACTCTTCACCTTTGTTGGCTTTCCATCCTGGTGGATGCAGATGGGTACTCCTCTGGGCTTCATAGGTTCATGCTTAGTATCTCTGAGTCGATGATTATCATGTTCTGTCAAATGTGTATTGGGGATTGTTGAGTGACATTTGAATTATTTATTTTAAAAAGTCTCATTCTGGAGTTTTTATGGTTAATTTGGAGGGTGAATTCTACTGCGCAGAGAGTGGAGAGGCTGACTGCACTGGCAAGAGCTGGGCATAGCATAGGCTGAAGTTAGGTATCATCACCACCCAGCTGTCAGGGCAACTCAACAGTGTCCTGCAACAAATTCCACCTTACCGAGTCCCACAACTCTGACGTTGGACTCACTCAGTTCACTGCTCTTCCACTCGTGGGTCCCAAACAGCTCTAATGGTGTGTTTCCCACCTTGACTTGAGCACCTGTTGCTAGTCCAATCCTGAGCCACCTCAAACAGGTGTGCCAGAGCACCTCAATCCTGGCCCACTGCACCCAGCCCATAGCTTCTTCCTGAATAGAGGCTACCAAATGTGTGTCATGGTTCAGGTCAATTGCACCTGTATTCCCCCTCCATGATTCCTTAAGAGCACTGACTCTAGGCTCCCAACTCCACAGCTGTCACCTCTCTTGGGCAGAGACCCATGTCTTTCTCCTTCCTGACTGGGTTTTGCCAGGCTGCACAGTTCCCTGCCTTCACTGTGATATCCCCAGCAAGCCAGGCTGTCTAACCAGGTCAGCATCTGCATTTTGCTCGCAGGTGAAAACATTACAGAGAAAACACATTAAGAACAATAAAAGAACCTACATGCATGCTAATAAGCTTACCATAGATCACTCCCCAATTCCAGCAGAGTCTCTGGTAGGAGTTTTCCCCATGGTTACAAGTTGATAACAGCCTTAACTCAGAACTAGCACACTCGTGAATAGTTTCGTCTGTCCTTTCCTTGGGCCTTTGATCTTGAGACTCTGGGAAAAGGTGATCAGCAGACAGTAGTCCTCTCCTGGGGCATAGCTTTAAAAGGCTGGGGTTTTGCATTGTGGTGGTAGGGAATTTGCATTCATCTCCCACTAGAGATTCCCCTGGCAAACCACTTTGTCCCAAAAATTCTTGTCAAGTACATTGTTCAGTACAGTCCTTTGAAGTGTATAACATTCCCAGGGTTCACATAATCTCTTTCCCCAAGAGAGGTTACATGCAGTCCCAGTTCACGATAATACATAATCTTTGCATTTAATACAATGGACTCCCAAGTTATTTAAACTTAATTCAATAAGGTTTTTCAAGGATATTGCATGAAATTGCCATATTTGTCTCAATGTGGTCTTACGATATAGACAAATGTTCACAGTGGATTAGATTAAAACACCCGCACTCCTTTCACTTGTGACCACTGAAGGAGTCCAGTTCCAAGACATGAAAAGCTGACTCACTATACCCCTGGGCCATCTCTTTAGCACAGAAAGATCAGAAAAACCTCTATCTGATCCTTGTAGGTGAGCCCTAAGACACAAATTTGTTCACCCATATTGTCCTGAGGGAATACTGAGCAGTAAATTCTATTAAATAAAAATATTCCCACATGCACAAAATTTCTGTGCTTATACTTAAAGTACTCAGTTTGCAGGCATGGAGAGGGTGGTTTGGGGTGAACTGCTTCTTCTTTGATGTAGTTAAATCAACCTTAGGCCAAGCTACTACTTCCGTTTAGAAAATATTTGTTTAGGCAGATTTTTCATAGTTGGGAGGAAATTTCTAAGTTATTTTTAGTGTAATTTGAACGTTGACCTTGACAACGTCCCTTGACAACCAGCCTGACTTTAGTAGCAATGTCTCCAAACAACTGAGACATCATCCCTAAGAAAGGCATTGGTTGTAGGAAAGAGTGTCACCCCTGAATTGGGCCCTCCCTAAAGTGTGCAGGGATCATTGTACCAGTTTGTATATGTCAGGGGTATATTTTGGTTGGACTTCTTAAGAGGCTCTTTTTTACCAAAAAAAAGTGATTTATTGTTTGTTTTTCAGTTTTATTTCTAATTTTGTAGCTAACTTTGTAGCTTCCATTCCTAACTTGAAGTTAGGGTTTGAGATTCACTCAAGACAGGGAAAAGAAACCCTTCTCCTATTGATATGACTTTAAAAAAGTACCCTCTCGGTTTTTTTTCCACCTTGAAGTAATTGCAGAGACATGTTACAGCAGTTGGATCTCTGAGTACCAACTGTATGCATCCGATGAAGTGAGCTGTAGCTCACAAAAGCTTATGCTCAAATAAATTGGTTAGTCTCTAAGGTGCCACAAGTACTCATTTTCTTTTTGCGACTACAGGCTAACACTGCTGTTACTCTGAAACCTGAGTACCTGATTATGCACACAGATGAGATAGGCAGATGCCTGGCCACTCTGAAATATACACGCAGTTTGCACCTGCATAATTACCCCCCACTGTCTGTTTCTAGGCACCAAACTCAAGGGTGAGTTGAGGCTCTTTTTCAGTTAAGGCCATCTGTCTTTACTTGTGACTTGCCAATATTTGTTAATGGTGCAATAGGATGAGAACCTCTCTTTAAAACCGTCTCAAAATCTCTCCCTTTAGTTCTCTGCTGAGGGGAGCAGATGGGTCTTTCTTCCAGTCTCCTCTTCTGCCTTAATAAGTTTTCTTGGCCAGGAGCAAACCAGGGAGTGCAGAATTTCATGAGTGGGTGGCCATGGGAAGTCTGAATCTCCTGGCAATGTTTATTACCTTGGGATACAGCGGAGGATTCATGAAGCAAACTTGGAACCATTAGTGATTATCTTCAAGAACTCTTGAAGGACAGGTGAGGTCCCAGAGGACTGGAGAAGGGCAAACATAGAACCTATCTTTACAAAGGGGAACAAAGACCAGGGAATTAGAGACTGGTCAGCCTAACTTCAATATCTGAAAAGATACTGCAACAAATTATTAAACAATCAATTTGCAAGCACCTAGAGGATAACAGGTCGATAAGGAGCAGCCAGCATGGATTTGTCAAGAACAAATCATGCCATATCAACCACATTTCCTTCTTTGACAGAGTTACTGGCCTAGTGGATGGAGGGAAGTAGTAGATGTAATATATCTTGATTTTAGTGAGGCTTTTGACAGTCCCACATGACATTATCACACACAAACTAGGGAAATGTGGTCTAGATGTAGTTACTGTAAGGTGGTTACACAGTTGCTTGAAAAGCTGTACTCAAGAGTAGGTATCGGTGGTTCACTATCAAACTGGGAGGATGTATTTTGTGGGGTCCTGCAAGGGTCTGGTACTAGTCAATATTTTCATTAATGACTTGGATAATGGAGTGGATATTATACTTATAAAATTTGCAGATGACACCAAGCTGGGAGAGGTTGTAAGCGCTTTGGAGGACAGGATTAGAATTCAAAATGACCTTGACAAGTTGGAGAATTGGTCTGAATTCAACAAGATGAAATTCCGTAAAGACAAATGTAAAGTACTACTTTGTGCATTTAATCTTTTTTTTCCTCAATTACAAAATGGGGAATGACTGGCTCAGTGGTAGCATTGCTGAAAAGGATTCGGCAATTATAGTGTATCACAAAATGAATACGAGTCAACAGTGTGATGTGGCTGTAAAAAGTGCTAATATCATTCTGGGGTATATTAACAAGAGTGTTGTATGTAAGACATGGGAGGTAATTGTCCCACTCTACTCAGCACTGGTGAGACCTCAGCTGGGGGACTGTGTCCATTTCTAGGTCCCACAGTTTAGGAAAGATGTGGACAAACTGGAGAGAGTCCAGAGGAGAGCAACAAAAATAATAGGAGGATTAGAAAACCTGACCTGTGAGGAAAGGTTAAAAAAAATGGGGCATGTTTAGTCTTGAGAAAAGCAGACTGAGGGGGGACCAGAGAACAGTCTCCAAATATGTTAAGGGCTGTTACAACAATAGTTCTCCAGGTCCACTGAAGGCAGGACAAGAAGTAATGGGCTTAATCCACAGAAAGGAACAGAGATTTAGGTGAGATATTAGGGAAAACTTTGTAATTATAAGGATAGTTGAGCACTGGAATAGACTTCTAAAGGAGGTTGTGGAATCCCCATCGTTGGAAGTTTTAAAGACCAGGCTGGACCTTTCAGGGATGGTTCATGTTTCCTTGGTCCTGCCTCAGAACAGAGGGCTGCTCTTGATGACCTCTCAAGGTCCCTTCCAGCCCTGCTTTACTATGATTCTGTGTGTCCCTCGTTTGGCCAAGGAATGGAGTAGGATAGGGAAGGGCTTACTTGTAAACAGGCAATTCAGTGAAGAAACTTTTGCTTTCCCCCCACAGAGAGTATCTTAGTTTTTGCTCTCCTCTGCTCCCTCTCTCCCTCAGCATGTCTGTGTGGTGTGTGGAAGCCTGAAGCTCTTGTTGAGAGAGTGGAGATGCTAAGAGTGACATTACTGCATTGTGCATATGTATAAAGGTGCTGGAGGCTGCTTTGCTTCCCTCACTCGAATCTGGTACCTGTGTGTCATATTGCAGAGAAGTAGCACATTACAACGTTCTGGGATGCAGGCTCTCGTTAAATGCTCCGTATAGACAAAGACTGGCCATGTAGAACATTATGGGTGTTAACCCCAGCCAGCTGACATGCAGTTAAATACATCTTCTTGTCAATACCAAGCATTCAACATCATGTTAGTTAACGTGTTCTGTGACAATAAGACTCTCTAATGCAGATAAACCCCCACAGATCTGCAGTATTAAGCTTCCCTTTCCTCCCTGGCCAGGATTTCTTTCCCATCCCAGCATGTCCTGTTACTTTTATGACCTGCACAACTCCATTCATTGAATTTCTCCCTTTGGATTCCCAACAGGGACACTTCTACCCCACACACACCACGTAAGGGAGGAAAAGCCTTTCTCCATCACATCCCAGAGACCCTGTCCCATCATTCAAACTATGTCCAATTAGATTCTGTCTTTTCAAAGTACTGAAGAAACTCCCTTGGGAGGTAGGCAGCAGATATTCTTATTCCCATTTTACAGATGAGTAAACTGAGGCACGGGTGACTTAACTTGTCTCAGGCCACAGACTGAGTCAGTAACAGTTACATTAATAATCTGGTGATCGTTGGCTGTCAGTGCACTAGGCCACACTGCATTTGCCTTAGACTCTACCAATACTAGGGCCGAATGCACAGTCCAAATATATGACAGGTTTCAGAGTAGCAGCCGTGTTAGTCTGTATTCGCAAAAAGAAAAGAAGTACTTGTGGCACCTTAGAGACTAACCAATTTATTTGAGCATAAGCTGTAGCTCACGAAAGCTTATGCTCAAATAAATTGGTTAGTCTCTAAGGTGCCACAAGTACTCCTTTTCTTTTTCCAAATATATAGTCCAGGTGAGATACTTGCATTATTTATTATTAATTTTCAAATAATTTATACAGCAGCAATAGCATGTAATATTGGCAAACTATTCCTTAGCACCAAGGGGTAACTGTTAGACATATTGTAAAGACAGACTAAACAGTACAGAAGGTGGTGTCTAGGTAGATAACTTGTGGAAGGGACCATCTCTTTGTTCTGTGTTTGTACAGTGCCTAGCACAACGGGGGTCCATGACTGGGGATCCTGGGCATTCTTGCAATACACACAATATGCTTTACCAGAGACAGGGACTGTGTGCGTCTTGCCCAAACAAGCTGTCAGCCAGCCAGCTAGATTCATAGTGTCTGAGGGTGTGTCTGAGGAAGTGTATATCTTCCTTTCACTCTTTTTCTCTTCCTGAATAGTCTTTGATGTGGTAATGAAGCTTTTCTCCAAATCATTGTGCCATGGCTGGAATTAAAATACAAAAAGCCCAATGCATCTCTTCCTGTTTTCCCCTGAGATAACTTTGGCTGTAACCTCCCTGTGCTCTTTCTATTGTTTGTTTAAGTTAGGGGGTTCATTTGTTCATTTCTTTTTCCTGTTCCATTGTTTATCAGGGCCCTGATTTGCATTTAGTGAAAGGTTTTCCCCCCCACTGCCATGGACTCCCTGTGACCTAAAGAGGGTTCCTAGGTGATTGCATAAAGTTTCATTAACTCATTGATTGCTTTTCCATACCTCTTGGTTTGAAAATGGATAGTTTCCATGCAAGTAAAGGTAGTCTCAAACACTAATGGTTGAAAACATCCCTAACAGTCTCCCATCCTTTCTTGCTGAACGCTTAATATTAAACTTGTCAAGATACAAATTCTATTGCATATCAGGACATCAGCGATCCTGCCATGTGACTAAATCTGAATTCCCATGGTGTCTGGTTACAAGGTTATAGGTAACTTATGTAGCCTTTGAATGGATGAGGTTATTCAGATGTCGCTATCTGCGATGTCATCTGTGAAAGGGCTTCCATGTACTGGTGAGTAGAAGAGTGTGTGATGAGATTCTTTCTCTTCTCTCTCTTGCAGCTTTTCTCCAGACCTTGCCCTGGACTCCCCTGGCACGGACCACTTCGTTATTATAGCCCAGCTGAAGGAAGAAGTGGCCACTCTGAAAAAGATGCTGCACCAGAAGGATCAGATGATCTTGGAGAAAGAGAAGAAGGTACAGCCCTGGACCGCTTCCACACAAAAACTGCAGAGTGAATTATGAGCCACATACTTAAAGGTCTTTACCTTGCATATTTGTACAGTGTCTGTCTGTTAGCCTTGTGGAAACCAGCTAACTCTCAGGTGGGTGTTGTCTGCAAGCTGGTTAATTTCCAGGGTTAAAGAGCCAGGCACTGTGGCAGGAAGGAAGGTGGCTTTCTGGCTGTTTGGAGGTGGGTGGGCCAGGATTGCAGAGAGGAACAAATTCTGACCATCCACTGCCACACAATGAAGATTACCCCTTTTTCCTTTGCCTTGTACTCCCAGTATGCCCAGCCTTATGTGCTGCCAGTTCTTGATGACTGCTGGAGTGCAAGAAATGGCAGTAGGCAGGTAGGTTGCATGTGGGGTTGAGTCCAAGAAAGCCCATAGCTGCTCTGTGTGCATAGGTAGAGCAGGCAACGCTCAGACAAGTCTCAGTCCCAACCTGTGGCACCCCCTGCTTTGGCACTTCTGAGTCCCAGGCAGCTCTGCTGACGCACCTCAGCTCTGGCTGCTTTCACAGCATGGTGTGAGAATCCTCTTTCTTACTCAAAGTATTCCTAATAATAGTCACACCTTACTTAGCACGCTACAAATGTTAATTAATCCACTTCCACAAACCTCGTTATCAGGTGGGTAAGTATCATTATCTCCATTTGACAGAGAGAGAAACTGAGGCACGGAATGGTTAGTGGCCTATTGGTGCTCAGCAGGGCAGAAATGAATAAGAGCTATCAGAGCTCAGCCCCTCTGAAAATCAGGCCGCAGATTAATTGCCCAGAGTCACAGAATGCACTGGGGTTACTAAAGATGCACCCATGCTGGGGCTCTGTCTGGGTCCCACCTTTGGTATTAGCCTCAGCTCTTGGTGCATGTCCTCTGGCCTGCAGTTGGGCAGTAAATGTTCTGAACCCTCCTTGGCCTACAGGATCGCAGTGTTAACCCACATGGTGCCTCTCTGAATGTGTTCCTTTCTCCAAGGTGACTTCTACAGAGACATTTTCCAGGGCAGGACATCTGTTCGGGGTGAAGGAATCTGGACACATCCCTTTTCTCCTCACTCATCCAAAAGCTGCTTGCTTGTTTCTCCTTAGATCACAGAGCTAAAGGCCGACCTGCAGTACCAGGAATCCCAGATGAGGGCAAAAATGAACCAAATGGAGAAGACACACAAGGAAGTCATGGAGCAGTTACAGGTGATGGCATTTCTATTCTAATGTGCTGGGTTGTGATCTTCGCAGGAGTGACTGAGAACGCTGTCTAGATCAGAACGCTTCTCAGGCTTCCACCCACACAGCTCTGCTAATGCCTTTCAGTCCTGACCTGAAGTACTGCCTGTTCGAATAGGACTTGGCCCCCACACTGCTCTGCCAGTGCACCTGAATCCTTCTAGCCCCCCCTTGCTATTCTCTTCCTGGGCTCAGTTTTATTGTATCCTCTGCAAACTGGATGGGAACTTTATCAAAGTCAAGCTTGAACCCAGGTGTCAAGACTGTAAGGCCTATTTATCCACCCATTGCACCACCGAGCTCCTGATTTGATTTATTAGCTCAGTAGCCAAGGAGAACAAAGCCTAACAAACAAAGGGTAGTGCTTTTTGTTAGACTAAATAGATATAATTGTAAAGAAGTCTGTGAGCTTGTAGGAAATGTCCTTTTTTTTTGGTCAGGCCATGAAAACGGTGTATATCGGCAGAGGTAGATTCTGGTCTGCAGTAGGTCAAAAGGGAATTGGTTAAAAGAAAGAAATCGTATATGGGTGCAAAGTTCATCTCCTTAATTACTCTGTCTGGCATTTACAATCAGCTAAAGCTCTAACTATGAGGGGAAAAAAAACAAAAAACAAAGGTGTGGATAAGACACAGCAGAAAATGTTCTTTCCTCATCACCACATGCCCAAGTTAATTATTAGGGTAGGACAGGTTTTTGTAGATTACAGTTGCTGTCAGAAATCTATCAGTGCTTGTGAGTTCCTGTCCACTATGCAATTTCTAAAGTTGTCTTAAGTTGTTTCTTAAGTTATCCCAGGCTTCGAGCAGTCATGTTATGGATGGGATTGAGACACCTTCTTTTAGAACTGAAAAATTCGGAGGCTGGATGGCTTGTGGGGCTGGTAATGGAAGTCAGAGCCCATAATCTCTTACGTTGTCTGCTTGAATCTTCCCAAGTGACCCAAAATTGTTCCCCGTGCAGGCTCTTAGGTGACTTGTGTAGAATGAGTTGACATTCTCATTCCAGTTCCTAGTAGGCAAATGTTCACGTTACATGTTGCCACAAACTGGTTGCCTTTGTTGGTAGTTTCAGTAGAGAAGCCAAGGGGGACTGAGCTTCCTTTTATCTCTTGAGACAGTCCCTCCAGATCAGGGCAGAAGCACATCTGTCGGGCACAATGTGGGGAAAGCTGTCAATCCAACAACTTCCAATAGCACCAAACTTGCTCCATTTTAAAATAAAAGAAGTATCAAATAACTGAACTGGCTGGCCCTCGCATACCTGCCATTCCTGGGTGGAGAGGTGTGTGTGTTTTATACTTAGCTCTAAATGAGACAGCCCAGAACTTGGTCTTTCCAGTGTCTGAGTGTAAAACTTCAGCTAACATTGGCAGAGGTTTTGGAAACTGTTTTTCTCCAATGATTCCAAAATAAAAGTTCAAATGGTAGCAGTGATAGCAGGTACCTGGAAACGTTCATAAGATTCACTTAAAAAAAAAAATCTTAAATGTCCTGTTTTTTCTGGGGAAGCTCAGGTTTGTGTGGGTGCCTCTGTTCTTATAAGCTTGAAGGAGGCAGAAGAAATTCCTTTCTGCTCTAGCACTGCATACGTGTAGCATCCATTCTCTTGTTTGTAAGCCTCTGCCCAGGGCAGCTGGAGACTTGGCTCATACAAGTTCTCAGCTGTAGGCAAGGGTCATTCTAGCACCCTGCATGCCCACTCAATGCAGTTTGCAAACTGAACCAGAAGAGCCATGTCTGGCTTTGCATGCACACCCCTATCATTAGCTTGTGCTGTACCAACAAGATAAGCAGAAGGCCAGAGAGTTTGGAGAGAGGTGATTCAGGGGCTTCGTAGTAATACAGTGGAGCCTTTCACTTCTAGTTGCCTGGTTTGAAGCCAGTCTAAGTTAGTAGTGACTGAAAGTTTTTACCCGCTGGCTGTTTGGTGATTGATAAGAAATCATCTGTCTCATCTCTTGTTCACTGAGACCTGGATTCATGTCACAGAAATCACCAGTGCAGTAATGCTTCCTGGTGACATTGGCAGCCTCAGTAAAGAGGCTGGGAGTGAAACAAGCCAGGAATATTGATAGAGCCACTCACCCCTAGAGTTGGTCAGAGTTGAAGAGGATTTGGGGATTCAGTGTGGGGGGGAGGTTGCACTGCCACTACCCATCCTGCACCTTGTTCTGTGGACTTTGGTCTCCAGAGCCGTTAATTCAGCATTTCTCACAAATAAAAAATGAAAGGGGATGGGGGAAGGAAAGGGAAGGGAAGTTTCTCAGGCAACTCCCAGTGGAATTGAAAGGGCCCTCCTCTCTTGTCTAATGAAAAATCACTTAATCTGTTGTGCTTCGTGATGGAAGCTGATTGCCTGCAGCACTTGGGAAGGAATTCCCCCCTTCTCCCATTTAGGTTGGTCAGGTACATTGGCATTTGCCTGTCTCTGCAGCATCAGGTGTTGCCAGCTGGTAGAAATGGAATACTGGCCTTGCTGGTGTGATCCAGGACAGCAACTTCTACATCCCTTTTGGTCTGTATGCAGGAAGCCAGCTGTGCCTGTCCAGGTAGTTCTTGAGTAACAATGATCCACGCTATTAAAATACCCATTTTCACTGTGTTTCCAGGCCAAGAACAGAGAACTCCTGAAGCAAGCAGCTGCCCTATCCAAGGGCAAAAAGCCTGAGAAGTCAGGAGCAATAACCTCCCCTTAAAACAAAAACAAACTGGGAGCTTCCCCAGCATTAACCCAGGAGGCCTGTCTGTTCGGCTGGAATCCAACCTCAGTCTTGTTACTATCCTATCGCTATGGACTCGATGGAACGCCTGGTGTGTGTTGCCTTTCAACAGCATGGTTGAGTGTGTCTGGTTTCAATATCTGTTGAATACTGTTATATAGTATAGTGATCCACAGGGAGCGGTGCCCCACACATCTTGCTGTCCCCCGTGCCCTGGAACGAATGGTCTCCAGAAGAGACCCTGTTTGGAAAACAGGTATTACCACTGCCACTTCCTACATTAGAAACCAGGGATCCTGTGATACTGGAGACCCGTCTCTGCAGTTTAAAATCTGCTGGGCTGAGGCACAATCCGTTGTTGGCTGGTTTTCAGGCTTACCAAGAGCTTTGGGGGCACGGTGAGAGCTTTATTTTCAAGTGTTTTGTTCCTTCTTTCAAGGGAAGCTCTTAAATCATCTTCCCCAAAGGGAGCAGGAGGCAGCACGCCGATCTGCCTGGAGCGGTTACGCTACCTTTCAAAACCTGTTCCAGAATCCAGGCTCTAGATTTCTCTTGGGTTTTTAAAATATTGGCTTGGCACACCTAACTGCCTGTTTTGATAACTTTTGGTTTGAGAGTCTTGCAGAATAATTGTGCATAATAACCATATGGTGGCCCTGTGGGGCTCTGGTTAGTGGCTTGGGCTAATCTAACTTCTCTGGCACGGCCTTCTGCAGTAAAGGCAGAAGGAGAGCTTGAGGCTGTATTAGACGCGCTCTCCCCTCCCAAGTCCCGGATCAAGTTGATCCTTTTATATCTTCTCCTCTCCCCCCCCACTTCACTAACGTCAGATGTTACAAGAAGTGAGTTCAGTCAGGTCAATAGTGACACAAAGTAGGAAGTGCTTCTTGGGTGCTGGGCAGAGAAGCCCCCAACCTCCATTCCCAACAAAAGCCAGCAGGATAAAAGAGCTGAGAAGGTTCTCTGCTTTTCTGAAACAATCTGACTTCAGAGGCAAAGAGGCCATAAACAGTTCCAGTAAGATCAGCTGGAATGTGTACTTCCAACCCACCCTCATTAGAGGTGATCTGAACTCTGCAGCTGTCTGAGCCCTGCCCTCAGGGCATCTCTTAGAGGGGAGAAAAGCACTCTGCCATTAGGGGGAAATGCACAGATGAGCTCTCAAGTCAGCACGTTCCAGGCCAGGTTACTCCATGGAATCCCACTGGCCAGCCCTATTCACACAAGGTGAAGAGAGAGCTCAGGGGTTAGAGACCCTACCTCGAGGGGGGGGGGGGGGGGGGAAGGAAACAACCTTAATGTAGACAGGCACCAAATGGAAAGAGATGAGACACTGACCCTTTGAGACAGGGCTAGCTGCTCCAGCTGGGTTTTTATTAATCTTTTAAGTAGAGAGTTGCAATTTTTTTTTTAAGATGAATTTATTCAATGGCACTTTTCAGATGTTAGCTTTGAGCGTGGAAGAGCACACTGAAGCATCAGATACTGTCGTGTGGTTTTTGTTTTTGTTTTTAAAAAGACTTTAGGATGCTAAGAAATCTTTGCACTCTGCCAGAGTGTGACAGCCGGAAAAAAAAAAAAACCCACCTAATTTTATACTTCACATATTTTTAGAAAAAGTCTGAAATGTATCAATAGGATTTTTTTTAAAAATGGGGGCTTTGCTTCTTAGCTTCCCTCAGGACACAGAAATAATAATAGAGGGAGAAGGGCCTTGTATATACAATGTTGTTGTTTTTTTAATTGTGACACATTGATCATGTAACTGAGTAGCTGATGGTTTGTAGTAATAACGTTGTTTCTTTGTATGTTTGTAATAATGGAGATTTTAAAGGGATGCTTTGATTTGTACAAAACTCTGACAAACGTTAAAAGTGTTTTAAACAAAATCCTCTTGATCTGTGTGATATTTTATGTTTGCCTTTTTTGGGCTGAATCCCTAAAAGGCATCCTTAGCTCTCACCTGGGAATGATTTGTCTGCTGATCCTGGCTGTGCACCTGAAGCACAACGGTGTCGTGGTGCTACTCATGGGTGTGGGGGGTGTGTGAAGAATTGAACAGCATTTTCTTTAATTCGGCTTTCTTGTATTTTGGCTTCTATCTTTTAAATTCTCACAGTCAAGAATCAGTGTCACTTAACCAGTTACATCCACACACTTCAAATTTATCCCAGATGTGCCAGTCAAGAAGATCCTCATTCATTTTGCTTCTCCAACCAGAATTGCTTCATGAACCAAAACTAAACAGGGAACAGCACTTGATAGGAAAAAAGACTAAAGGGTAGATTTTTCAAGGTACAATAGCAGATGCTTAATGACCATTTGTGCCTCTCCTCCTAGATCATCTGTTAGTAGGGCTGGTTGAAAAAACACGTTTTTGGTCAGGAGAAATTCCAATTCCACAAAATTTAATCTGACAACTGAACATTTTCAATTTGGAAATGCTGTCACAGTGCACCGTGGGAGGAGCTGTGTGGGTGTCCCCTGTGTGTATTCTCCTCTATAGACTGGACATCCATGATGGGCTCTTAGAGGGGGAAGGAGGTGCACATGGGAGGTGTAGTCTGGCCACAGAGCCCAGCCTGTGGAGAACAGGGACATGAGGCAATCAAAGTACTGCTTGCATTGAGCCATCCCCACAACATTTCCATGATTTCGGGTTTGTGTTTTGTTTTTCAAAGAAAAATCCTTTTTTTTCCCTCTCTCTCTCTTCAGAAAGCAGGCATTGTAAGTGCAATGTTTCATTGTAGCTAAAATCCATTTTTCTGTCAAAACAGTTTTAATGAAAACTGACCAGCCCTGGCTTTTAGGGGGTAAGTGCAAAAGAGTGTGATGAAAAAAGAGATTGACCATATGAACTGAAATATATTTAAAAATAAATTGGAGGTAGCTTGGCCCAAAGCACCACAGCTTGGTCTCATGTTATTGTTCAGAAGCAGTTGCCATCACAGCTTTTGAACCCCAGAGTGGGCAACATTGATTACATCCTAAAGCACTTGGCCATGGTCCACCTACCTTAGTGAAAGGAAAATGTGTGTGTTTTCTTTATGGCAGCTGTCAGGTCTCAAAGCCCTTTTCAAACAGTGTGACTTGCTGGTGGGGGAGGGGGAGAAACTGGACACATGCTCAGTTTTCTCCTCTTATATGTTTATAGAAGTCCTGAAGGGGTTGGGTTTCTTTTTTAAACGTACAGTATGTTTTTCAACTGAAAAATTTCAAAATTGTTGTATCTGGTTTTGCTGGAGCTTCAGTGCTCTAAGCTGGCTGAAGGGCCCTTTAAATCTGGAGAGAGAAGGTAGTTTATGTCCAGGGACTAATTGTTGGATGGTTCCCTATTAAGGATGACACAAGCAAAAGAAAACCACAATACAACAATAACACTTACCATTTATATGGTGCTTTCTGAGTTCTGTGTAAATGTTATTTTATCCCTGCCTGCACCCAAGTTATCCCCACTTTACAGGAGCTAGGAAAATGGGTTGGTGAATTCATTTGCTCAAAGCTACATGGAAAGTCAGTGGCAGAGTTGGAAATAAAATGCAGGACTCCTGAGTTCTGATCCATTGCTCTGATTCCTAGACAAGCACTCCCTTTCAAAATCGCCATCCTGCCTTTCAACCTATAAAGATAGAGGGCTTGTACACACTAGCACTTATGTTGATCAGGGGTGTGAAAAAGCCACCCCTCTGAGCGACGTAAGTCACACACACCTAAGCACCGGTGTGTACAGCACTATGTTGGTGGGAGAGCTTCTGCCGCCAACATAGCTACCGCCACTCGCAGAGGTGGATTTAGTATACTGACATGAGAGCTCTCTCCAGTTGGCACAGAGCAGGGGTGGCCAACCTCAACCTGAGAAGGAGCCAGAATTTACCAATGTACATCGCCAAAGAGCCACAGTAATACGTCAGCAGCCCCGCATCAGTTTCACTCCCCGCTCCCAGCGCCTTCCACCCACCAGCAGCCATGCCGATCAGCGCCTCCCTCTCCCTCCCAATCAGCTGTTTCCTGGCGTGCAGGAGGCTGGGGGGCGGGGAGAGCGAGGGCACAGCAAACTCAGGGGAGGGGGCGAGAAGGGGTGGAGCGGAGGCAGGACCTGTGGCAGAGCCAGGGGTTGAGCAGTGAGCGCTCCCCGGCACATTGGAAAGTTGGCACCTGTAGCTCCAGTCCTGGAGTCGGTGCCTCTACAAGGAGCTGCATATTAACTTCTGAAGAGCCGCATGTGGGCCACCCCGGCACAGAGCATCCGCACTATCAGCGCTGCACCAGCATCTGGGACGCTGCTCCCCTGTAGTGATTTTGGTGTCGACTATCCCACAGAGTGAGAATTTCATGGGGCTTATCCTCCAAAGTCTTTGGTGCTTCTGAAATTTCCACCCACAGATCGAATAAGAATTTAATAGCTCCTGGCTACTAGCCCATACTTCCTTCTCCAAAACTATGTAATCACCAGTCAAACAAATTTAGGGTTCGTAATTGCACCTTATAGCATCAGTTGGTTTTATTTCAAAGCTTTCTGAAAAGGTTCTCTAATTTTTTTTTTGGTAGAAAATTACAATCATTTGCAAACAATTGTCCCCTCCTCCCTTAAAAACAAAATTAAAAAACCCACAACCAGAGTTACCCTCTCCAGAAACAAATAAGGAAAGAAAGAAAGAGCGGAATCCGTCTGTAATAACCGAGCAAGAGAGAGGGCACGGCTATCGCCTAACAGGTGTATTGCATTGCTTTATATGTGATGCCTGAATGAACTCCAGCTTCAATCAAAAGTCCCTTGCAATTACATATAGATGTATAAGGGAGGCAGTATAGCTTAGTGGATAGAGCACTAGCTTAGGACGCTTGTTCTATTCCTGGTTCTGCCACTGCCCTGCTGTGTGATCTTAGGCAAGTAACTTCGCCTACCTGTCCCCCCACAAGTGTCTCAGTTTTCCCATCTGTAAAACAGGGATAATGATATCTTCCTCTTTTGTATAGCACTTTGAGATCAACTGATGAACGGTGCTAGATTATTATTTATTCATAATTATTTACATTTAAATACAAAATAGCCTGGCCATGGCTCTGGGCACCCTGGCAATGAGGTGGAACCGCAGCCTGCACATGTGAATAACCACCTAGTAGCATAACAGCCTTTGCTCACAGTAAAAGTAAATTGGCTCCATCAGCTGGTAATTTCAAGCAGAAAACAAAACCCCTCCCATTCTTGGAGCACTGCCTAAAAGCCCAAGCAAACAGATGGATTTTGCAACTGGCCCTAAAGGTTAACAGATTTGGGCTACTTTGCCTTTTTAACCTATGATCTCAGAACATTTTACAAGCTTCAGTTAATTACGCTTTATAACTCATCCAGGAGGTAGGTAAGCATTATCTTCATTTTACAGGCTGGGAAAGCGAAGGACAAGAGAGGTGAAGAGATTTGCCCAAGGCCCACAGAATGAGACGTTGGAATGAAACCTTAAGAGTCCTGGTTCCCAGTCCCAACTACTCACCAGATGTCTTGATGTCCATTCCTGCCTTTTGATCTGTAAGTCACTTTCTCGTAGTATGCCATCAGTCAATAATGAGGCCTACTGCTCCTGTACTGGTGCCTTACCCTTCGAGAGACATGAGGGACCCTTCCTTGTTGAACCCCAGCTATTTCTTAGCCAAGACTCCTTTTCTCAAAGGAAATCTCTTACTTCAGAAGATCCATGCAAAAGGTGCACAGTCTGCAGCATCAGGAATACCTTCCATTGTGCTTACCAACGTAAGGACCAGCAGTTACACTTCAAGGGTACACAGTCAGTCAGCCTTCCTCTAGCTGCCGCTTAACACTCCAACACAAGCCTTATCTACGTTCGGGATTTTTCATCAGTGCAAACCCCCTCTGAGGTCTGTCGACTGTCTACACTAGGGGTTCCTGCTGGTGCAGCTGTATTAGTGATGTTACACACATGTAAAATCCGTATCACTGAGCCTGGGGGTCTGATTTTCAAATGTGCTGAGCGTTCGCAGTGCCACTGGACTCCAGTTAGAAATGTAAGTGCCCGGCACGTCTGAAAACCAGGGTAACTGGTATTGGCTCATGCCGAAGCACGTTGTGCAGCCTCGGGTTCGGTTTGTGCTTCTCCAAAGCTGGAACCTTTCATTGCCTCTTTTAATGGCTCCACTAACGCTCCACATGTTCTCCAACCCTCAGATCATTTTACTGGCTCTTCACTGCACCCGTGTCAACCCGTTTTAAACTGTGGTCACCAGAACTCTGTGCAGGATTAGTATGAGTCTCACCAAGGCCATATACAGGGTAAAATCCAAGTGCTGTGCTGACTCCCTCGTCCCCTGTTTATACAGCCCAGGATTGCATTAGCCCTTTTTGCTTTGAGGCATAAGATTGCTGAGGAAGAGGGGAGATGTTACCCGGAGAGTGAGTGTCTCCCCACGGCATCAGCTGATGTTGAGGATGCTGGAACGTCTGCTTCCCCGCGCTATGAATGCTCTACACAAAGAGGGCTACAAGTCCCAGAAGGCACCTGCACTGTTTCTCCAGGGACTCCTTTTACCTGTGTAACCCCGGCTTTGGCTCCGATCAGCTTACCAGTCCAGATGGACAGGGGGAGCAATAAGGTTGCATCAGCCAGAGATGCTTTCACAGCCTGCCCAGGCCCAGCCTGCTCGGGTCTGTCTGTCTGCTTTGCAGAGCACACAACACACGTCTGGCAGAGCTAAGGAAGGACTGTGTCTCCTTGGCTGCGGCATCCTAACCAGCTGGCTGATGGGCTGAGCAAAGGGTGGCTGGACAGGCTTGGTCCGTTACAAGGAAGTGGGACTGAGAGCTGCAGATTTGGAAACTCCTTGCGGGGGCGGGGGAAAGGCCACAGGCAGGACTGGAGAACTAGCACGGGCTGACTCTAGGGGCATCAAGCACCCAAGTGACAGAGGAGCTACTTTGTATCTTCCCTGAGCCATGGTCTCTTTACGATCCCGTTTGCTTCCCCGTGGTCGTGTGCCAGCATGGCAGACGCTGATGTGCAGCCTGCTAGAGATGCTGTGCAAGGAGCGGTCGCCGAGCCCAATGCCCCATGCCCCAATGCCCCTGGGGCAGGCGCTGCTGAACTGCATTCAAAGTGCCTGCCCTCTCCAGAATGGGCCAGTGAAGGAGGAGCCAGAAGCACAATCGGGTCTCCATCAGGTTTTGGTACTGCTCCTCGGGCTCTCTAGGACCTGCCCATTTAGCGAGGTCACAGAGGAAGGCTCCCAGATGCTGCGGACTGCCCAAGTAAGGGTCCAGGCAGGCAGGCAGGGTCCAGTGGAGCTGCAGTACTGGATTGGATACCACCTTCTAGGCCATGGGGAAGAATGCCAAACAGGCAACTGAGTCAGCGTCATACACACCACCCACAAAGGGCACCAGGGCTAAGCGGCCCATGAACAAAGATTCCCATTCCTAGTAGACTTGTCCATATCCCACCCCCAAACCCACCCCCATGGTTGGCCCTGTCCTGTCAGCCTCAGCAAGGAGGCCAGCGACTGTGTCGACATGGAGAATAAACCACCCTGCCACCCCTCATCCAGAGGAAGCCAGAGTCTTGGGCTTGCCCTCGTTGTCATTGTTTTTCCCTTTTTGTGAGTGCCCACCTGGTGCTGTACACCAGAGGGCAAAGCTGACAGACAGCCAGGTGAATGGCAGGGGGGTGGCACACAGCATGCATGTAAAGGGCTCAGGGCAGTAGCAGCTAAAGATTGTGTGACCTAGTAGCCTGAATACAGGACTGGGACTCGTGAGGTCTTGCGTCTTAATCCCAACTCTAGCAGTGACTTGCAGCCCTTTGCCTTAGTGTCTCCCTCTGTAGCATGGGGTAATGATGCCGTAGAGAAGGGGTTGTGTGGGGATGAATGAGTCAATGCTTTAGTGATAGAAGGGGCCCAGTAGTGCTGCCCTGCCAGTCACCATCCTGAGCACCAGAATGTGCAGCCTGCATGTTAGAGGCTGCTGGTCTCTGTTACTGGGTAGCAAGGGAGGTTCGATCGGGCCTTTGCCAAGCTTGTCAGCATTGCTGTAAAGCAAAGAGCAAACCGAGTGAGTCAGGCAAAGCTGCTGACAGCCCAGAGCAGCTGGTAAATGGGAGGAAGCAACACAAACAGCCCAGGAAAAGTGCTGAGATTGCAGGTGACCGATTTTATGCCTCTAATTGGCTGTGGATGGATCACCAGAGGCTAAGGAGCGGTGGGGGTGTCTGGTGCCACTCCTTATTGCTGAGTTTATTGCTCACATGTGCTACAGACCGGCCTTGCTCAATCTGTCCTGCCTCTCTGCTAATTGGGAGGGGGGTGGTTTGTGTTTTGGCTCTTGTGTAATAAGCCCTTCTCTGTAGGCAATTGCATGCATGCAGCCTGTCTTTTCAGGACTGTTGTAGGCTCTGAGCAACTGTCTCAAGCAAGGCTAGGTCTCTCGTGGCATTTGCCTCAACGTTTTCTGATTAGATATTTTTTTCTCAAATATTTTGTGTTGTCTGCAAGTGTCTCTGCTGAATTAAATCACCAGTGTTGACCTTTGTTTCCTGTCCCAAACAGTTGCATAATCTTTTTGTACGCTGTTCAACAGCTGGCGCGTTCTGCCCCAGAGACGGTTGCACTTCACTGCTAGGTGAAGTGAATTCTGGAAATCAAGAACGTGTTTCAGTATTCATTAGGATAAAAGACGCTTTGTGAATGGGATATGTTATTAAGTGATGGATCTATTGAACCAGTGAATCAGGCAAAGATACCTGGGTTCTTTTCCTGGGCTGACCATTGACCTATTCTGTCTTTGTGGGCAAGTCACTTCCCCCCTCTCTGTGCCTCAGTTTCCCTTCCCATCCTTTGCCTATCTTGTCTAATTAGATTGTAAGCTCTTCAGGGGAGAGACTCAGCACATAGCACAGTGGAGGTCAGATCTTGGAAGAGGGCTGCTTGCACTATTCTAACAATGAATGACAGTTTCACTTCTGTGGGGTTGAGTTTTGTAAATGCTTATGTATCAAGCAAACAAATCAGTTTCACGCTGGAATGGGGAAGCCTTTCCTGGATTTCAGGGCGCGTGGAAATGGCCCGTGTGCTGCCACTTGTCAGTGCATATTATTTCTAGGGCTGTCAATTAATTGCGATTAATCGCACTTATAACAATAGAATACCAGTTGAAAATTATTAAATAATTTTGGATGTTTTTCTACATTTTCAATATTGATTTCAATTACAACACAGAATACAAAGTGCACAGTGCTCACTTTATATTGTTATTTTTTATTACAAATATTTGCACTGTAAAAATGATAAACAAAAGAAATTGTATTTTTCAGTTAACCTCACACAGGTACTGAAGTGCAATCTCTTTATCCTGAAAGTGTAACTTACAAATGCAGATTTTTTTTGGTTACATAACTGCACTGGAAAACAAAACAGTGTAAAACTTTAGAGCCTACAAGTCCACTCAGTCCTACTTCTTATTCTGCCAATCACTAAGACAAACAAATTTGTTTACATTGATGGGAGATACTGCTCCCTGCTTTTTATTTACAATGTCACCTGGAAGTGAAAACAGGCGTTCACATGGCACTTTTGTAGCCAGCGTTGCAAGGTATTTACATGCCGGATATGCTAAACATTTGTGTGCCCCTTCATGCTTCAGCCACCATTCCAGAGGACATGCTTCCATGATGATTATGCTCGTTAAAAAAATAATGTGTCAATTAAATTTGTGACTTTACTTGTTGGGGGAGATAATTGTATGTCTCCTGCTCTGTTTTACCCACCTTCTGCATATATTTCATGTTATAGCAATCTCGGATAATGACCCAGCCCATGTTTGTTTTAAGAACACTTTTTCACAGCAGATTTGACAAAATGCAAAGAAGGTACCGATGCGAGATTTCTGAAAATAGCTACAGCACTCGACCCAAGGTTTAAGAATCTGAGAGAGATGAGGCGTGGAGCATGCTTTTAGAAGTTTGAAAAGAGCAACACTCTGATGCGGAAACTACAGAACCCAAACCACCAAAAAAGAAAATCAACCTTCTGCTGGTAACATCTGACTCAGATGATAAAAACAAACATGCATCAGTCCGCACTGCTTTGGATCGTTGTCAGGCAGAACCCATCATCAGCATGGAAGCATGTCCTTTGGAATGGTGGTTGAAGCATGAAGGGACATATGAATCTTTAGCGCATCTGGCACGTAAATATCTTGCAACACCGGCTACAACAGTGCCATGCGAACACCTCTTCTCACTTTCAAGTGACATTGTAAACAAGAAGCAGGCAGCATTATCTCCTGCAAATTGTAACCAACCTTGTTTGTCTGAGCGATTGGCTGACCAAGAAGTAGGACTGAGTGGACTTGTAGGCTCTAAAGTTTTACATTGTTTTATTTTTGAATGCAGTTTTTTTGTACATAATTCTACATTTGTAAGTTCAACTTTCATGTAAAGAGATTGCACTACAGTACTTGTATGAGGTGAATTGAAAAATATTTTTTTTGTTTTTTACAGTGCAAATATTTGTAATCAAAAATACAAAGTGAGCACTGTACACTTCGTGTTCTGTATTGTGATTGAAATTAATAGATTTGAAAATGTAGAAAAACATCCAAAAATATTTAAAATAAATGGGATTCTATTGTTGTTCAACAGTGGGATTAATAGCGATTAATTTTTTTAGTCGCTTGACAGCCCTAATTATTTCACACTGTCATTCTGTGACCCAGTAAGGCACAGCCTGAGCTGGCAGCTGAGCCAATCCCCTGAAGTCAACCACAAGGCCCCTGTGTCCCCACAGCAACCTTGGAGTTGCAGCACAGACCATCCTCCCCATGACATTTGCCTCTCTGGGCACTGCACCCACAGTGAGAACATTTATGCCCTCCCCTCGCCCCCTTGATGAGAGAGTTGGGCCCGCTCTGTCCTTCTGCAGCCAAAAATCCCTTCACCCACCATGGAAGTGCAGCCAGCTCTGGGGTGAAAAGCTGCAGCCAGAGCACAGGAAAATGGGCAGGGTAAAATTCTGGCTAAAAACCCCAGGGGAAACCTCCCTGCTCGGATCAGAAACCTCCCAGGATCTGTATTGTCCGGACGGGGTGGGACGGGACTTGGGTTTGAAGAAAGCACCTGGAAAATCACACACACGCAGTGAACTCCACATGACTCCACTTATCAGCCTTTGCCAGATGAAAGGCTGAGTCGACCCCTCGGCGGCATCGTTTGAACCCGTGGTTCCAGCGAGTCTAGATGGCCCATACCTGATGCTCAGGGAATAGCCACCCCACTGGCCTGTTAGCTAATGACCCTTGGCTCTGTAAAGCAGTGGAAAACGTACCACACATCAAAAAATTCTCTTCCCCTGAAAGGGAGGCTTAGCGAACGGTCGTTAATTATTACTCCTATTGTATTACACTTCCCACATGTCTACACTCTGTGCCTGGACTCCCTTGGCAACTGGGAGCACAGGAGAGCCAATGACAGAGCTGGCAAGAGCCTGTTGGATCCTTCAGTGTATACATACAAACCTCTCTCTCTCTCTCTCTCTCTCTGTGGGACACAAAGTGGTGGTCAATGTTGAGCAGACTGCCTAGCGCTATGTAGTGAGACGTGGGACAGAACTGCACAGGGGTGCTCTGGAAGGCAGGTGCAGAGGTCGGTCCCATGCTGTCTGGCAAGGAGAGCAGGACACAGAGCATTGCTGAGTCAGGTTCTGAGTGCGAGGCACCACCACTCCTTGACCCACTGATGGGAGGCAAGGCGGCTGTCTGCCCCAGCAGCCTGAGAGGTCAATCAACCAAAGCAGGGAGGTTGAGAAGACCCTTGTAGGGATCTCAGGCTGCCTCTGTTGCCTCCTGGCTGAATTTTTGTGCCTGTCCCAACAGAAGCCCTAGTGGGGGAACGAAACAAGAACCTGTGTCATTATCACCTGGAAAGCATTTGCAGGCAATCTCGTCTGGCCTTCCACAAACCAACGCCTGCTCTCCTGAACACACTGGGCAATTCCTCACCCAAGCCTGGAGCCCTGTATCAGGTGGGGGCTTGGGGATGGAATGAACCTGCAGGATCTGCCCTGCTTCTCCTGCTAAATTTGCTACTGGCGTGGGGGCAGGGAGTTGGACAAAAGAAGGAGCTTGACAGCACGGCACCTGCCCAGTGGTTGGGAGAAGCCCATGCAGGATGATGATTCTGAATTATAATTGTATGGTGGTAGTACCTGGAGGCCCAGCCCCATTGCGCTAGGTGCTGTATGCACACATAACAAAAATGGTCCCTGCCCCCAAACTGCTTACAGCCTAACAGGTGGCTGCAATAAACGAGCAAGGATGGTAGAAGGTAACAGTGAGAGGATTATGATCAGCTGGAGGGATGCAGCTGAGAGTGCACATGCAGGTTAGAAGCAGCTTCTGGGACTTGGCTGTGCACTTGGTCCTAAAGCCAATAAGGGATGGATAAAGAAGGGGGCAGGAATAGACAAGGAGCCAGAGATCAATATTATAGGGGCCAAAGAGATGCCTGAGCGATTGGGAGGAAAGAAATCTTTTCAAACGGGATGCAGTGTTCTAGGCAGCTGCAGTTGCAGAGGAGAAGGCTCTCGAACCAAGATGATCAGCGTATGAAACGTTGGAGGTGTGGTGTGAGAAGGATTGGGCAGAGAGCAGGCAGGCTTCGGGACCTCAGAGGGAGCACAGAGTAAAGTGAGACCAAGAGCCTGATTCTGATCTTCCATTCTGTTTACACTGTGCTTTTAGTGGAGTTACTCCTGATTTACACCAGTGTAAGTGAAAGCAGAGTTAGGCTCAAGGCCGACAGGTAAAATTAGAGCAAATCCATGGTTTGTGGCCTTGGATAACAGCAGCCTTTGTGTTTGCAGGTGGGCATGGCAATGTATCTCTTCTTGATCTTCAGGTGCCATGCAGGTCTGTGCGTTTCCAGGTACAGGTGAAAGCCGGCAGCAATTGGCCTATCTCCTCCCACCTCTGCACATAGTGTGCTTCTAGGGGCCTCAGGCTTGAAATACCCAGACTCCCTGGAGCCAGAGGTTCAAATCTCGACTGGGTCAAATCAGCCTGATCATGCTTGTGTGGCAGGTGGCTTCTTTTGTGTGTGTGAGTGTATGGTGATGGGGGTGTTTGCAGTAAATTGTTAAAATGCAATGTCTTGTCTTGTCTGCTCTATGAGGATGTTAATGATCCTGGGGCTCTTTCCGTAGAAGGAGGAGGTTTTACCAGGTGCCAGAACATCCCCTCATGCTGCTGTTAGCTAGCGGGGCTTGTGTGCTTTGGGACCCTGCCCAAGGAAGTAGCACATCATGGCAACATGCTGCCCTCCTATAGCACCTTCCACCAGAGGCTCTCTGCTTTGCAAGCATTCATGAATGAGGCTTCACAGCCCACCCTGCTCTGTGTGGCAAAGGGTTACCACCCCCATTTCACAGATGAGGAAGCTGAGTCACTGACAGGCAAGTGACTTGCACAAGGCCACACAGCAAGTCAGTAGCAGAGTCAGGAATGGAACCCAAGAGTCCTGTCCTCTAGCTACTAGACCACACATCCTCCCTCTTGGGCTTGTTGGTAGCTGGGCTGGGAAAGTTACTGAGGGTGGGCATATTGGGAAGAGAGGGTTAGGGGGTCTGCTCTGCTTGCTAGGGGAGACAATGTGACACAGGGGTACAGTCCCAGACAAGCATGTTAGTAGGCTGCTTGGGGGAGAGAGAGGGCTTTGGGAGCCAATCAAAGGGGAGACCTGCCCTTTTCCACCCTTGGTAACAGCTCCTGGGGCCCAGGAGGCTGTGCTGGGATAATAATGGAGATGCATGCTCTCATTAACCAGGCTAAAAGGAGAAGCAGCTCAGGGAGCAGGCTGCATCCCAACCTGCTGCTGCTTGGGGCTTTTTCCAAGTCACGGGGTACACAAGAGTCCCGAGCGCTCGGTCCAAGTCACCGGGTACACAAGAGTCCCTAGCGCTTGGTCCCAGCGCTAATTGCCTCAGCGTCCCCCCAAAGCCCAGCTGCCGCTCAAGGCATCTGTCACTCCTGGGCTCCTGACAAACAGCCGAGCTGGTCACACAAGCCATGCAAGCCTCCTCCTCTGACCCTGCGCTGGGGTTAATGAACCTGGGAGAAGCTGCTCCATCCCTTTGCTTTTGCTGCACATGCATACAGCCTTGTAGCGTGGTGGAGGGGGTGAATTGCTGTGAGCTGGTGGTAAGCTTCCAAGGGGAAAGAACTGTTTTGGAGCCAGTGGTGCCCCCTCCTCTCACACACCAATGCTGTCCAGGCTTAGCAAGGGCTGGCTAGGAAACAGTCCAGGAGAGCTGCAGGGGTACAGGATCTGTAGAGCACAGTGTGTTGAGATGGTTCTGATCTCCCTTGCGCCAACGTCACCCTGCTGACTCCTGAGCTACCCTGGTATGAGGGAAGCCGATTTCCTGCCTTGCCACCTCACGTCGCCATTCAGCCTGTGAAAAGTGAGTGTGCAACAGCACCATTGGTGTGAATAAGTGGTGAACTTTACACCCTCTCTGGCCAGGTGTAAATGACGAGACAGGATATGAAGCAGGGGAGAAACAGTTTCGGAATGTGCAATTTGCTCATGGATCGATGCTTTGCCTCTGCTGGGTGCATTGCTGCCTGGAGAAATGGGGGCTGCATTGTGGAGTTTGCCTTTGAATTTCAGGCTCGAATCAAATTTTGCCAAGGCTTGGGCTGTTCAGATTTTTTGGTTCTGATTTGGGACTGAGAGATGAGTCCAAACTGAGAGATCTGAAGCTCTGGTTCTGGTATGGAAGCATTATAAGGAGAGGCCCAGCCTTCCCCAGAGTCCAGGAGGATTTGGGTCTGGGGCTTGGACTTGGCTTCATCTCAAGTCACGTGCAATTTAAAAAGGCAAGTTAAAAGGGCTCTGGCCCCACTGTTTGGCCTCTCCAGATTTTAAACCCTAGAGTAACATGGGAGGAGTTGGACCTGATGGATTTACAAGAGAGAGAAGAATCTGGCCTCCCTGACTGCACTGGTCAAGTGGCTAAGGATGCTAAACCTTGCTATCATGATCTGAGCTGCAGTGTGCATAGGTCTGAAGGGAATGGAAGGCAAACTGGGGTCTCTTTGCACAGAAAGGTGGTTAAAGAGCACAGAACGTTGTCAAGCCAGAGTTTTGCAGTAAAGCTGCAATTGCAAAACGCTGCTAAAAATAACACTAGTTGTGTGGGGGGCTTTATCAGCCAGAGGGAAAAAATCAGTTTGACTGTATAAGCTGCAACTGCAAGCTTCCTCTTTTCCCTTTGTTGTGCTCCTTGCAGGCACTGGCTGAGTGGCCTGAAGTCTCAGCCAACCACGCTCTGCTGTTCCTTCTTGAGCTGCCTATCCATTGGCTGTCCTTGGAAGTACCATTAGCAAGGTGCAAAGACATATTTTCACCTAACTGGCAGGCGTTTTGGATTGGAGCAGGAGGAGGCTGTTGCCAGGCAAATACAGACCTGTTTGCGCAGCTACTTCTGTTTTCTGGACTTTGCCGTGTGTGGCTCTTTCTTGGCACTGTTGTCTGGGGCTCTTTCTTTTGTAGAAATTTGGTGTTTGTTAGTCAAATCAACAGGGGTGGAAATCAATAGGGGCTGCACCAGGGCAGCTAAGAGCAGAATTTGGCACTGCGCTGTCTGTCTGATTGTTCGATGAAATGACGGACCACGTTCATCTCCGGCATAGCTCCATTAATAATGCTGCCAGTTGTTTGGCCTTGTGTGTTGCTTATCAAAATCTGTGCCCTAATTTAGGGATGATAAGCCATGTATAAGGCATATAAAGGAACAGGGATGGGGTGATCTACTCCCAGTCTCCGATGAAGTGAGCTGTAGCTCACAAAAGCTTATGCTCAGATAAATTGGTTAGTCTCTAAGGTGCCACAAGTCCTCCTTTTCTTTTTCCCAGTCTCTAGTGGATACATCAAAAAAACATACAACTCAATATGAATGGAACACAGGATAGCAGGGGAAGATATAAGGAAGGGCTATGGGAGGAGGGGAACCCAGGACTCTGACTTGCAGCTCCCCCTTTTATGCCAGTCCTGGCTTCCCCTCCTTCTCTCTGCTACTACCCCATAATCCTTCTTTGTTGTCCTCCCCCACACTGTGCCATTACCTCGGTGAACAGCATCAATTGTGCTGACCAAGCAGCACTGTTCTGTCCGTGTAGCTGCACCTACACCGGGCGTTTTGTCAGCACAAGTGTGTTGTTAGGAGGTGTGGTTTTTTGCACACCCCTGGCTGACAAAGCCGTGCCCTAGAAGTGTTAAGCGTAGATGAGGCCTGAGTCCACGCTGATTCTCCATTGCCCTACTCCTGGAGCTGCCATATAAACGCGTGCAAAAGTGAGCAGAAACGCTACTGTTCTAATTTTGTAGCATTTTACATCCACTTAGCACTTGTGTAAACGGCAGCACAAGGGAAATGGCGAATGAGCGCAGGACACCTATGCGGCGACTTCTTCTCTGCACGTTCAGAAATCCCTTAGGCCGGAGGAGTTTGTGATCCGGGATCAGCCCTCTGAATCCACAGGGAACAAATGTTCTTTAAAGAGAGCTAATCTTTGAAACCCCATCATCACCTCTCTTTATCCCTGTGTTGTTTTTCTCCTGATTGGTGGTTTTGCACCATTCAAGAAAAATGTACCAGTGAAAAAAATTTGTTGTTCAAGCTATTTTCTGTCCCCAGTCGGGCCTTCAGACTAGGAACCTGGCTTGTTTGTGCTTCCACAAATTCACTAACCCTGAATGGGGCTGAATTACACCCGTCCATTGGAGAGAGGAGTCGGGCCCTTCATGTTTGTTTAAAGTTATTTCCTTTATTTATTTAGAGTTTGTTTTGATTTTCGTCTCTGTGTTTGGCAGGTTGATTTGGCTATGGCTCAGGTTTCTTTTATTAGCCTTTAAAATGTGGACTCAGGTTGTGTTTTGCCAGAGGCTGGGAACGGGCGACAGGGGCTGGATCACTTGAGGGTCCTCTGTTCTGTTTGTTCCCTCTGGGGCACCTGCATGGGCAGCGGGTAAGGGAGGCTGTGCCTCCCCAAACAGCCAGGCATGGCCCTGCCCACACTTCGCCCCCCAGGGCACCGCTTCGCTGGTGCCACTGGACTCCAGGGGCTGGGGCCACACCGCCCGCCTTCCCGGGGCTAGGGGGGCTGCAGCGGCGCGGCACGTTCTCCCTTCTGGCACTCCAGGGCTGGGGGGGGGTGCGAGCACTAGCCAGCCTGGGGCAGGTGCCAGTGGCTGCCGTGGGGTGGCTCTGGGTTCCAGGGAGGGGCGGAAGGGGTGGGGCCTTGACTGGAAGGGGTGGGGCTGAGGGCTAGCCTCCCCCAGCCAGCAGTTCACGCTCCGCCCATGGGCACCTATCATTGGCCACTGTGGGAAGACGGGCTACTGGGTTAGATAAACCTTTGGTCTGACCCAAGTCTGGCCGCTCTTATGTGTTATCTTTAGATAGATCAATCAATCTTGGGGGTGAGGGCTGGATGCTCAAAGTGCAGGGACGGTTACAAGGGGTCATAGATCAGGCCAAAACATATGTTTAAAAATCTATTCAGGTCACTGAGGGATGGGGGTCAAGCAATTTTACCAACATTGCTGCTCCCAGATTATGACCCCCGCCCCCTCACTTTTTTCAAACCACTTTAAACTCCGTACATAGGCAGGTGGCTAGATTTTGGTCTCAGGAACATGGATGCACCTTGCGAGAGGGACCTTTTACAAATACTTTCAATGGTAAAGGTTTTTTTCCTTCCCTGTTCCTCTCTAACCTTCTCTCATCCACTCCCACCCTCCCCCCGAGGAGGATCAAGTTTTATCTCAGGATATTCCTCCAAAGAAAATTAAGAATCTCCCGTGGTGAGGGCGGCACTAATCCGATGCGTGTCTTTGTTGCATTCAAATTGCCGTGTTCAGCCCTCGCTAACAGCCTGCAAAATTTGCCCCCACTTCTCTTCCAAGGAGATCGGCTCCGCACCAAAGTAGTAAACACCGATTGAAACTCGCATTCCCAAAATCCCAAGCGGCTCTGTCCTTTCCTATTGGAGGAGAAGTTTAGGGGGCTGAGTCATGGCTCTGGAGGAGGCTCCTCCTCCTGTGAGGTGATTGGGTCCGTGGGCCGCCGCTGGCTGCAGTTCCGCCCGCCTGGAGCCGTATGAGAGAGCAGCTGGCGGGGGCCGCGGCCGAGTCGCGGGTCAGTGCTCCGTGCGGTCGCGCGGGTTCTGCGCGGCTGGTTGGGTAGCTGAGCCCTGGGGCGCTCTAGAACGCGGATGCGCCCGGACGTTCCAGAGCCCTGCGGCGTTCGGACGTTCGGCCATAGAACCCCGGGACCGCGACCAGCTGCGGTGACGCTGACGCCTCCAGGGGCTGCCCGATCCGCTATGCACCTTCAGCCTCCGGACAGATAACGCGATCCCGGGACCGAGCGCTGGCGCGGACGTCGCAGCACGGCTCCCCCGTCCCCCCGAGTGCCGCCACCCCAGACAGCACCATGATTGTTGCCGGCTCCGATGGCTGCGGCTGCACGGGCATCAAGGGCTATTTACCCTGCGAGCAATGTGGTGATTTGAGGACTAAACAGGTAATGGAAGAGGGAATACCCCGGTGGTGGTGGTTGTTTTTTCCGGGAAGGGTCTTTGCTCATTTTCCAGTCTCCTCCTCTCCTCTCCGGTCTGTAATTTAGGAGCTGTTTACTTTTCCAATCTTAATGATTTGGGGAGGGGTGCGCTCCAGATCCAGCCTGGTTGCGTAAGGGATTCTGTAACATTTTTGACATGGCATAGTACGTTTTACCCCAGTTGCATCAGGCGGTGGACTGGGGGCGCAACAGGTGCGTGAGGCTGGCATACCAGTGACGAATATGGGCGCACTACCTGGGGTGATGAATCCCAGATCCGATGGGCAAACAGCTTTGCAGTGTCTTGCATGTGTAGTGAGCTGAGGTCTCTCTCTCTCTCTCTCTCTCTCTCTCTGTGCCTCTTTGGAGGCAAATCAAAGTTTCCATTTGACTTGGTGTTTGGCGAAGAGGGCGCAAGTACAGACATGTCCCAAACGGTGGGCCAGTCATCCCCCGAAGGGGTTAACCAAGAAGTCTCAGGTTAGGAGGGTGTGGGGATGGGTGGCTAGCTAATGTGGCAGCAGATCAGGGGGCTGAGACCACTTTTAAGAATTACTCTTACTGACTTCTAGGAGAACAGCCCCTTCTAAAGTTGACAGATTAAGTAGAAGCAGAATTAAAAAGTAACTAACTAACTATACCTTCCCTTCCCAAAGGAGTTTTCCCAACCCCAGTTCTATCTTTTATTATTTTATTTTTATTGTTTTGAATTTCCTGGCTTTAATACATCTGGGTCACTTTAAAAAGCCTAGCAGGGCTCATTAAGATTTTCTTTAGCTTCCAGCCTTCACTCCAGTTTAAGAAAAGGATCCCCCCTTCCCCCATCTTTTCCCCTCCTTCAGCGATGTGAAGGAGATGAGTCTGCTCCCCTGGGTTACAGAAACCTCCTTTGACTCTAAACTGCTAAATTCTAAATCGTCATTCTCAACCTCCTTTGGGTTCAAAATGGCCCTTTCATAATATTTACCCACTTGGCTCTTGGGCAGGGAATTGTATTGCCTTAAGGCACAGCTGCCATCTTCAGTACCCATATTCAGTGGGGCCCAAGTGCATGCAGAGCCCTCCAAATGCACTTAGCTCTCTTTTGCTAACGCGGTGGGACCACCTGTTTGGAATTGTGCAAAGAGGTGCTCCCAAGAAGTTAAAATATGGCTTGCCCCTTGCAGGGTGCTGAGGACAATACAGTAACTAAAAGCTTTCTTGAGGAGGGGGCGGGGTTGCGTTTGAGGGCCCTGAGACACTTCCGTGGATTAAAAGGCCACCCGCTCTCAGTTGTCTGAGGAGAGAAGTGAATTAAAATAATCTTTTGTTTCAGGGGAAATAAACGTGGGGAAGAGGCAGGTGCAGATAAGAAGGGCAAATAGAATAGAACAGGGTTATTGGGCCCTGTACAGTTTCTGTACTTGTTTTTTGTGCCCTCTTAACTGTGTGGCCCCATCTGGGCACCTTGGGGACTTGGTAGTTAGTTTGAGGCAAACTCTGCGTGCAGTAACTGATAGCCTAAAAAAATGACAGAAGCTGGGAGGGGAAACCGAGGCATAGAAAGGGGTAGAGGTTTAACCAAAGCTGCACAGCAGGTTGGTGCCAGAGCAGATGACACAATACCCACATTTCCCAAGTGCCAGTCCAGTGATTCTTGGCACACTGCTTTTATCATTCTTGCCTCGCTAGTAAGGTCTAGTAGTTACATAGAGAGACCTTGGTTATTTCCAGGCACTGTGCTTGTTTCTGAAGATGGCAGAATTGAATCCTCTTGTGAACAGAACTTCATTGTGCAGAAAACGTTCGTGTCTCATGTAGACCTGGATTGGGGTGGGCAAGAATACAAGCTTTCTCTTCCCTGACCTCTGCTAGGGAGTATTCAAAATAGATTTTCATTTATGGAGGAGCTTGGAATTTGGCGCTAGTCCACAAATGGGTTTGGGACTTGGGAGTGGTATAGAGAAGCAATCACTGTGTCAGATCCTGAAGTGCTGTGAATACTAGTATTTGGTGCTTCCAAGGCTTTATTATTAATCATGTTAATTGTGCAGTGCCCATTGTGCTAGGCGCTGTACAAAGTAGCAGACAGTCCTTGTCCTGAAGCATTTACAATGTAAATATACTAGACAGACCCAAGGTGGGGAAAGAGGTAGAACACCCAAGAGGAGTGAACAATGTCATGGCAGCAAATTGTATGTTAATTCCATAGTTTTTGTTTTTAAGGTAGATTAGGTAGGATGAGATGAGCTAAGTGGAAAGAAAAATGAAGAGGGAGGGGACATTAATGGAAAAGGGGATGGGGTCAGGGGTTGCAAAGTGCTTTAGGAACACTAGAGAGACAAGGTGGGTGAGGTAATATCTTTCACTGGACCAACTTCTGTTGGTGAGAGAGACAAGCTTTCAAGCTCATACAGAGCTCTCTTTCAGGTCTGGGAAAGGTACTCCCAGTGTCACAGCTAGATGCAAGATGGAACAGATTGTTTAGCACAAGTAGTTTGCGCATATTGTAAGGGACCATTCAATTTAGAGTGGTCCATTAACACCTCTGCGGTCATAGGAGAACAGAGTGGGTTACAGATTGTTGTAATAAGCCATAAATCCAGTGTTTACCATGAATGGTTCCTTAGAATATGTGCTAACTACTTACACTAAACAATCTGTTCGGTCTTGCATTTAGCTGTGACATTTGGAATAGCTTTCCCAGACCAGAAGAAGAGCTGAATGGCTTGAAAGCTCTCACCAACAGAAGTTGGTCCTGTAAAAGATATTATCTCACCCAGCTGGTCTCTGTAATATCCTGGAACCCACAAGGCTACAACTGCACTGCAAAGGGGTTCTCAAACTGGGGGTCATGACCCTCAAGGGGTCGTGAGGGTATTACATGGGGGACAGCCTCCAACCCCAAATGCCACTCCACCTCCAGCATTTATAATAGTGTTAAATATAAAAAATGTGTTTTTTAATGTATACGGTGGGGCGGGGGGGTCGCACTCATAGGCTTGCTGTGTGAAAGGGGTCACCAGTACAAAGGTTTGAGAACCACTGATTCTTCTCACAGACATCCCTGCAAAGTATTACCCTTTTCTACAGATATGGGGGCGGGGGGGGGGAAATCAGAGGCACTGTGGCTATCCTGATTTCCCGCAAGACTGCAAAGCAAGCTGGTGACAGAGGTGGGAATGGAACCCAGGATTCTGTATGTTCAGGCATGTGGTTTAATTACTAGAGGATGCTTCATCTTAACAACACTAATGCAACTCTGAATCTGCCAGCCCCATGGGTGGCCCATCACATCCCTTCTCCTCTAGAGGTTAGTATCTTCCTCGCCTTAAGGCCAGTGCACCAGCATCAGAGCTGTTCAAAACTGTGGGAATTTCAAAGCTTCAGCAAAAACCTTGCCAAGTTTTCTGTCTTTCAACCAAATACATTGCGGGCTGAAATCTTTTGAATTTCAGAATGTTGACAATTTAAATGGAGGGGGGGGAAAAAAACCTATTTTACAAAAAATAGGGACACTTTCTCCTGGACATTTTTGCTATTTCCCCTCCTCTTCCCCTGCCCCCGCATCAATCAACTCTACTCCAGACATAGGGGGATTGGGGCTCCCACTCAGAAGCTGTGGAGTTTTGTCCCCAAATTAATACACTGTAGCTTTTAAGTAATAATGTAGAGTCCTAGAAAGGGAATGCAGTTGGAAACCACTGTACAGCAGTGAAGAACCTACATCAAAAAATTTATCCCACATGGTTAGGGTGCAAGATAGGAAAAGCTGTATAAGAATGTTTAAATAATGAATCTATAACAATGAATCTGTTAATGTAACGCTGATCTCTGCAGGTTAGGATCAGAACTGCTTAGCTGTCTGTCTTAGGCCATGTACTGCTACCCCCAAAAGAGATGCCCTTTCATCTCAACTGTTAAGGGTAGGAGGGGCTGAGTTCTGTGCTTCCTCAAATACGGTGAAGCCATCCTTATATTGGGACTAATATGCGATAGTGTAGAATTTCATGATCTGCGCTTTCAGAGCACCTTTCATTTTGAGAATTCATGGACAGGAACTAGGCTGCCCCAATATGCTGGCATAGTGGGCACAGGTTCTGTAGGGTTTCCCTTCACCCACCCTGGAGATGCAGTCACCTCTGGGTTGGAACACAGCCGTGTGCACGCTGACCTTAGGTAGTGGTTCAGGCCTACAATGGAAGAATACTGTAACCAGTTGAAATGGCAGGTGGGGAACTTTTAGGGAGGCGGAGTGCAATGACCAGAGCAGGGATACAGCAAGGACACTTTTAGTGAAGGGGTGAGGAAGTGTCAAGAGATTGTCTGATGTTCCATCCAATTCATCACTATGTCTGAGGCTAGGTCTACCGCTGACTTCGGTATAACTTGCATCGCTCAGGGGTGTGAATAAGCCCCTCTCCCCGAGCGACATAAGGTACACCCACCTAAGCACTGATTTGGATGGGAGAGCTCACCCGCCAACACCGGTACCACCTCTCACAGAGGTGGATTTATTATGCCAACGGGAGAGCTCCCTCCTGTCAGCATAGAGTGTCTTCACCAGGGGTGGTGCAGCTGCGCGGATGTAGATTAGCCCTGACTTTCCTATCCCTGCTCCCTCCTCTCCAGATTCCCATCAGGATCCCTTTTTTTCTTTTTGTATAAACAGAGCCATAGATAATAAACTGGTTTCCTGGCCCTGGCAGTAATTCTGTTTGCTTAATCTTTTGGTGTCCTTCTCAGGCATGCTCTTTGCCAATACCTCGCTACGCTTGGCATCACTTGGCACCAGAGTTCCCACCCCCCGTCAGACCATTAGCTCTTGTTGCTGGGTGTTCTGTCTCCAGGAGCACCAATCCCAGATCTTTCAGTTGAGGAAGGGACTCCTCTGTGCTCCCAAGTGGTTAAAGCACAGGGCTCTCTGGAAATCAAGAGGCCTGGCATAAGCTGTTCTTGTGGCCTCCGGCAAATCAGGACGGTGG